ATGTGAGAGAGTATATGTGTGTGAATGTGAGAGAGTATATGTATGTGAAAGAGTGTGTGTGTGTGAGTGTGTGTGAGAGAGTGTAATAAGTAATTCAAAACCGTACAAACTAATTAAGGTAGCGAGAGCATAACAATTTATCGAGGTGATGCTGTCAAAACAGGAAAACAGGGAAGATTTTACAGATACAGAACAGTATGGTGGGGTCACCTGTAGCGCCACATGAACCCAAGGTCACAGTTGAGGCTGTCTTCATGGCTATGAAACTTGCTATCAGTCTCTGCTTGGTGATTCTGCGTTGTTGTGTATCTTGGAGTCTACCTTGGAGGACACTTACCCGAAGATCGGAGCCTGGATGCTCTTGACCCCTGAAGTGTTCCTGAATGGGAAGGAACATTCCTGTCTGACGATTGTTGTGCAGTGTCCATTCATCCGTTATCATAGCATCTGCATGGTCTTGCCAATATACTATGCCTTAAGGCATCCTTGCCTGCAGCGTTGAGTGGACAAGTTGAGTGAGTGAATAAATGCATAGCAGACAAAGTAAACTGTGGATAAATATGAGATCATTCACTTTGGTAACAAGAACAGGAAGGCAATGAGACTTGCGTATCCTTGAATATTAGTCACCAAAAATAAGCATGCAGGTGCAGCAGAGGGTGAAGAAAGCAAATAGTATGTTGGCCTTCAAGGCAAGACAATTCAAGTACAAGATCAAGGATGTCTTGCTGTAGTTGATGAGACCACTATTTGGTGTGCGGTTTTTGTCTCTTTATCTGAGAAAGAATGTTCTGGAAATGGATGGAGTGCAACAAATATTTACCCGACAGATTCTTGGGATGGAAGGATTGAGGTATGACAAGAGGCTAGATTGGTTAGGACTAAATTCACTGAAGTTTAGAAGAATGAGGGGGGATTTCATAGAAACCCATTTAATTCTAACAAGGCTAGGCAGGGTAAGCAAGGATGGATGTTCCTGATGACTGGGGAGCACAGAACAAGGGGTCACAGTCTAAGAATATAGGCCATTTAGAACTGAGTGAGGAGAAATTTCTTCACTCAGAGAATTGTGTGCCACAGAAAGTCGTTGAGGACAAAGCATTAAATGTTTTCAAGAAGGAGTTACATATCATTCTTAGGGCTAAAGTGATCAAAGGATGAGGGGAGCAAACAGGAACAGATGTTGGATGATCAGCCATGATCATATTGAATAACAGAACAGGCTCAATATGCCAAATTACCTTCTCTTTCAGCTACTTCTTATGCTCCTAAGGCTTCCAGTCACAAAACACACTTCAACCAATATCCACTGCTCCCTGCCATTTCTTAAAATCCCACGCTGAAAGGATATCGTCTAGAACATCCACATTTTCACACTTTTCCTAACTGCTCATTGGCAAATTTATCAATCATAAATTTAAATATGCTTCCAGTCTGGTCCCTATCCATTTTTCCATGATTTTATCTGCAATCACCATTTTGTTCTTATCAGGTGTTAACCATATTGCTGTAGCCTGGACTCACACGTAGAATGGCAAATTTTCACCTTTAAAGTGCATTAGTGAACCAGATGGGTTTTAAAGAAAATTGACAATGGTCATCATTAGACTTGCTTTTAATTCTGCATTAGTAATTGAATTCAAATTTCATCATCTGTTGTAGTTGGCTTTGAAGCCATGTTGTCAGAGAATTAGCCTGGGGGTCTGGATTACTTGTCCAATGACAACATCACCTTGTCATCACCTCCTAGTTAACAAGAAATTTAGTTTTGCTGCTATAAATGGGAACATCTTCATAAATAAAGATTAGGATCAAGTTCAATTCATTTGAAATAAACAAAAATTGTTGATAAATATTCTTGGTGGGCACTGTAACAAAAAGAATCAAACGATTGACAGAAATTTGCAAAGAAAACTTATCAAAATTAAATCATAACTACATGACAGGGAATGATGGTGCACCCTAGCCCCTTTAGGACCCACCTACCATGGACCATGCCAGTGGTCACTGCATACTCCCCGTCCATGGACACCTGAGTATGGACATATCCTTGGAACAGGGACAGACTGTTGGGAGTGATGAACCCCTCTATGGCCTGTTGTTGAAGACTTAAGCTCTATTTTTCACAATAAATATACACAGCATATGTTTTTGGAAATCTGAAGGCTGTTGCCTGGCCAGCCAGTACAGCTTTGCTGCAAAAGGTTTGAGCAAGAAAATGTGACTGACAAATAAAACACCATCATTTAGTTTGATGCGCACAGCAAACAGCTCTGAGATTTGCATTGTTTTTCTCAGAGGCTAGAATAGAGGCAGGAGTTGCACACGGTGAATAATGGACTGTATCCCATGATGGACTGCATCCATATCCTCTCTGGGTGACAGCAGGCCTCCCACTGTCTAGTCTTCAAATTCCCTGGAAAGCTCCTCTCTAATTACTTAAATAATTGTTAGCAATCCTCCAACACAGCACTTTCACTAACTCTGCAACAGCAAAATAAAATTAAAATACCACACCTGACAGACCCATGCTGATCCCTTTAAATGACACTATGTAGAAGTAGGGTCAGTGGGATGGGGTCACACTAGTCCTTTGGGCAGCTGAATGCATGTTTAGCTGAGAATGTTTAGGAGAGTCCATTAACAAATTGTACAAGAACCAGGATGGCAGGTTGGATACCAAAGTAGTGTTAAATGCTGAGTAACATCACTACCTGTCAGATTTGTTGGGATTAGTCAGGATCTTGATGAGCACCCCTCACATTCGATAATTCATTTCACTATCATGGAGGAATCTTTCTAACATGTGCAAAATTGCAAAATCAGAATAGGACTTTTTCCCAGAGGACTGTCAAAGTGTTGTTAACCAAGGGAAGAGGGAAGCTTATGATGCAGATTTGTGTCTTTGAACTTAATTCAGATCAGAAGGAGCAGTAGATCTCCCTAGACTCGTCAATGTGTCTTAGGGCTTTCCCTGTCCTAACCATTCATGATCCTGCACATTGAATTATTGCTCCTGTAATGACTGGAACAAGTGCCAGGTGGATCCATGGACAATGAGATCCTTGATTGGGATTGTTAACCCGGGCCAATCAGGGAACCCTGGCTGACAGATATAAATAGGAGATTCAGAGACTCTCCTCATTCTAGGGACTGGCTCTGAGTTGGCTAGTCATGTTCACATGTAAATAAAGGTGGCTTAGTGATGGGATACTGGCCTCTGTGCAGTTATTTCAGCTCCCAGCTGGGAATTGCAAATTCCCAGCCCTTTCTGTTTGCTCTGGAAACCCTTCACCCACTAAAGTCCAGTACTCTCCTCCTTCTATGGTTGCAATCTCCTGAGGAGGAAGTCTCATTCTTGTCAGTTATCTAGGCAGTGAGCCTATGCCTGGACTTTGCTTTCTATTATTTAAATGAAGCATGTCATTGAGATCCCTCCACATGCTTATCTGTATGGTTACGCTGCTAACAAATGCACACACAATATTCGCACTCCTCCCCATCCTCCACAAATCCTGCAAATAAACATTGAGGTTGCTAGCGAAGCTGGTAGAATAATTTGAGAAGGTTCCCTACATGTCAGCAATCAGGAATTTGTATTGCTGGCCTCACAGACAAATTTTGTGCTTAGATTGCAAAGCATGCACCTTGATCTTGGAACTAATCATTTGGTGCCCTAATAAAACCCAGGAAAAGATGATCAACCACAATTCCACTTTGCTGTATAGTGCAGACATGTACCTTTTAAACCTATAACCTCTGCAATTAGATTTGTACCTTTTGATAGTCCTTCACTTTTTTACATTTTTATACTGCCATTTTATTCATTTTTCATATTAGAATGGTGGCCAAGGTATCATTACACTAATATAAAAATTAGGAAATACATATTGATGCAATGTCAATGAAGTCACATTGAAATTATAGGTATTAACTGTTGTATAAAGATAATTGTATAAAACTGTGCAACAGTGTCAAAAATTAGCAATGATATGAAGTTGAAACTCCCCAGCATTAATTTTTAATGATTGAAAAGACCAGACTATTTCCACATCTATTTTTAATGGTTAAACCAGTGGTAATGGGAGGCCTGTGAGAAGTGCTGTGTGTGCATTCAATTATGCATGCATGAGCTCTGCCTTGCCCAATTTCACAAGAATGTGAGCAGCCTGTGAAAACAAAGTTCTGTCCTTGGTTTGCTATTTTGTGCTCTGTGTGTGTGTGTGTGTGTGTGTGTGTGTGTGTGTGTATGTCTGTGTGTCTGTGTGTGTGTCTCGCTGTCCCTTTTCTGTTTTACTTTTACCTCTCTCTTTTCTTTACCATTTCCTAATCATTATTTTTCCTCCATTCCATCTCTTCCTCCATTTTCTCTATCCTTTTTCTTTCCACAGTCCAGCTATATATAGCTAGAACATAATAGGTGTCAACTGAGAAGCGAGGACTGCTGCAATCTAAATCCCAGCCCATACTCAACAGCTCAAGATGAGATTATGAGAGCATTAGGTAAAGCTGCATATTTGGTGTATATGCACAATTTGGTACTCACTTCCATGTTTTTCATTCAACTTTGTTATAATCTAATGGAAATTTGATTTATGATTGCATTAAAATATGCATTTCCTGTTTAAACTGCATTTTCATGCTTCATATTTCAGCAGCTTTCACATGAACAAAATCTTTTGCTAAGACCATGGACCATGTGCTGCATGTTGTGGAACAATTCGGTTTATGACCCAGCTTCACCATTTTCTCTTTATCTTAGATTGCTTTTTGAATTAGATCACATCATTGTAGGCAATATCTGTTCAGAGTATAGTTAAATGAAAAATAAATCACCATAGCAACACGATTAGAACCTTTAATCCATGAGCAGTAAAAGTTATACCACAAATAACCTTTTTAAGTTATTATAACATTATATAATATATAATTTGCACTATATATGCTATGCATACCATATTATAAAAATTCTACCATGAACTTGTTATGATCATGTCAGAATTTTCACAAAGTATTCGATGATGAAAGATAATTCTGTCCCCCTGGTGGTGAACTAAAGAAATGTTAACAGTGCTTTTGTTTTCTCCTAATTGTTTTCAGACCTCAGATGCCCAGTCTCCTTGCATTCTTTTCCTGAGTGGGCTATTTGTTGGGAAACGGTTCAAAGGTACTGAACACCCTGGTGCCCTTAACCTACGTGCCAACCAACAGAATAAAACAAAATGAAGGTGCTGCAGATGCTGGAGATCTGAAATGCCAGCAGAAAGTGCAGGAGAAACTCAGTAGGTCATGTTGGACTTGAAATGTTAACTCTGTTTCTCTCTTTACAGGTGCTTCCAGATCTGTCAACTAATACAGTGTTGGTTTGGCTTAGTTGATAGCAACCTAAATTTGAGCCAGAAGGTTTTGGCTCATGCTCTATAGCAGGACATTGGAGGAATTTTGAATATTGCAATATATCAGAGTTATAGCTTGCCACATGCTTGTTTACCTTATCTTGCAGTATGCAAGTTGACCATAATTCCTTAAATGGTGAGAAGTGTAAATAAAATTGAACTGATCAGAAGTCTTACTGCAGGATTCTAGAAAATCAGCATGAGAGATATACCAGCATCACATTCTTGATCAAAAGTTTAGAATGGGAATTATACTTTGCAACTTTCTGGAGTCTTACTACTTGGATGAGCAAGCATACAGGATCAAGAAGCTTGGAGATCACATCACCTACCTGAAGAGACTGGAAGACCCTGAGAATGGCATGGGAGAATACCTGTTTGACAAACTCACCTTCTAGGTGTTGAAATGTAATCCAAACCTGCTTTCCTGTCTCTTGCTGAATAAAATTATTAATCATGAAGTAGAAATAAAAAGCAGGGGAAAATACATTATGTTCTATAAAAATAGTATGCACTGGTTGGAACTGACAGAAACAAATACCTAGAGCTCGCTGCCAATGATAATAACAGGTAATCATTCACACAAAATACAAAGACCAGACTCTGAGTGATATGGTCTGCGGTGAGATGTGTGTTAGAATCAGGATAGATATTCAGTGATGCACATCTCAATGTCGAGATTATCGCATCACATTTTATATGCTATTCTCAAGTGGTTTGGTGAGATTCTTGCTAGGTAGTGGCGAGTTGCCACTTGGCACATATTATTGTTTGTTTAATGCCTTATCAACCGCTCAACTCACCACGGGTTGTGATATTACCAAACTCACCATGCAAACTAGTCACTGAGAAAACTCAGCTTGAAAACTACAGAAAAGTGGGTTTTGGTGGATATGACTTGCCACTTGCTATAAAAGACTTCCATGTTGGGCAACAGCATCAACATTTTAAGTAACCTTAATGGACCCCAGGCACATGCATCCTTCATTCACGGATGTTGGAATCTGACTACACCAGCAACTGTCATTCCAATAATGTAGCAGGGACACTTTGCACTCAGGAATGCACACCCTGCTCATGGATTGGACCAGGCTGCACATGTGGGGCTCTTCTTTCATTGTTTTAGTATTCAGTCTGAGCCTGGCTACTTGCCACATCCCTGCCTTGCATGGCCTTGGCTTTTTGCATATTATCCCCTCATCTAGAGCTACCAGGCTCCTAATACTACCATCTTGCCATGCCATTTAGCACAGCCACAAAGCCAAGAAGTTTGTCACAGTTGTCAGCAATATTTCCTCTCAGCTGTACAGTTGTGCAATCGCTCGTCGAGCTTACACATCTTGATCACCACTTCCGGAGTCATTGTCATGCACAGACCTCAGAAATTTGTGCCACAGCAGCAAAGGTTAGGGGGGAAGTAGGTTACTAGGAGGCTTCAGCCCAGTCAAGGGGGTTAGTCTTCACTCAGGGGATCCCAGTACAGTAGGTCAAGGACATCCTCTGATAACAATCCAGAGGCTGTTAGTGCGGTCAGAGTCAGGATCATCCACTCTTTAGGGATGAGGAGCTGAATGATTATAGCACACTGTCTACTTGACTCTTTCTGCCCTACTGTGGGCTGTTTTCCTCATGGAATAAGAAACAGGCAGGTATTAAGGGAGATGAAAGTAGGTGGAATAGCTATTACTGTTGAGGCAAGTCAGTAGGTTACCCAGGTGGGTGAGTAGACAACGCAGAAGGCATGCAAGTTTAGTGGTGTCACAGATTATGTTGGGTAAAGGGGAGTGGGGAAGATGTTGCAGGCATTCATGAGAGTGGTAGAGCATGAACCTTAGAGCGTACAGTATCAGAGAGAAAGTATGAAGTATTAGAGGGAAGATGAAGGCACCTATGGCTCTAATAGAGAAGAATATTAACCTTCTCCGTACAGTGTTGGAGTTTTCTCTAGATGAGTGTGACTGCTCTAACCCAGGCGGCAAACTTGGACAAGGCTGGCAAAATTGTTTCTTCCAGTGCTTATCCTGGGGAAGAGGATGTCCCACCTGCACACTATCCTGCTCACCAGAAACTGTGGGACAATGTCTGCAAAGCAGGATGCTAATATCCCCCAACTGCTATATCCAGGGCAAATGTCAGGAACTGTGCAGGGTAACTCCACATTGACAGTAATTTTCTGGGTGCACAGCAGCCTTTTAACCATGGAATGCCGCGTCTCCAGTGACTGGTGAGTGAGGAAAGGCACATGGCAAGATGTAATGGAAATCAGATGTGATACCTGCCATAAGGGCTGAAATTTCAAGTAATGCAGAAATTCCAAGTAATGTGGTAAGATATGGCGAGAAAATGTGCTCGGCTCTGTTGCAAGAATCACTCCACTGATCTTAATGCCATAAAACCATAAGATTCAGCCCTTTTTTTTGCAAGGCAGTCTATCGGCAATCTTTCTTCCCAAAAATAATTCCATAATGGAACAAACTGCCAAAGGAAATAGTCACAAATCCATCACTTGAAATCTTCCTGGCCCATCCTTGGATTATTTCAATTATCTCAGCAGATAATTCCTGGTTCACTAGCAGTACCCATAAAAATGTTGACAGAATAGGGACAGTAGTCTTAGATACCAGTACAACTAAAGCAGGCACAAGCATGTAATCTTGGCTGACATTTGTTCTAAAATACGGTGGCTTCCTTCAGAGGAGTATTTTCTCCCCTTGTTTATCTGGATATAAAAGATTCTTTGATGCTGTTGCAAGAAGAGCTGTGAATTCTTCAGATCACCTAGTCAATGTTCATTCTTTAGCCAACACCATCATGAACAACTGTCAAGCATGTCATATGCAGTGAATCATTTCGTATGCCATATATCTGAAAAAAACTGTGTCTCACAGCATGCAAAAAGTAATCCCAGCATTTGCACAGAGTGCAGAAAGATCATCAGTTCCAGAGATCTACTACACTCCAGTAACAGAAATGGAGCAGCAAAAACAGTTACCATGGCAACATTACTCTCAACAGAAACAACACTCCCTAGAGAAGAAAATCATTCTAGGAATGGGTAGAAATCAAAAGAGTAGCCAATGATAATGCATATACTGATGTGGTGGGAGACCTGCATAACTTAATAGAGTTTTTTTTTGTGTAGAATCCCCACAGTGTGGAAACAGGCCATTCAGCCCAACAAGTCCACACCAACCCTCCAACCAGCATCCCAAGCAGACCCATCTCTACCTTGCAAACCTGCATTTCCCATGACTGGCGGACCTAACCTACACATTCTTGAACATTATGGGTAATTTAGCATGGCCAATCCACCTAACTTGCACATCCTTGGACTGTGGGAGGAAACCAGAGCACCTGGCGAAAACCCAAGCAGACATGGGGAGAACATACAAACTCCACACAGACAGTTGCCCAATCCTGGAATCAAACCTGGGCCCCTGGCATTGTGAGGCAGCAGTTCTAACCACTGAGCCACCGTGCCACCCTTAATAATGACTATGGATGGAATCTTATAGGGGTCTGAGTGATGAGGGCTATGGCAGGATGTGTGCTAGACTTGGACAACAAGTCTGGAAAAATCCATCTCAAAGTCAGGACAACTTGTACTGTCTTTTATGTTTTTCACAAGCAGCATGGCATGATTTTTGCTTTGCAGCTGTGAGTTACCAATTGATGGGATTGTTGTTTGTTAAACACCTTGTTGTACCATTAATTTCAGCCATCTTATAAAAGGTGGACATTGAGAAAACAAGGAAACCAGAGTACATTTCTATGGATTCAACTCACTACTTTCTCTGAACAACCAATATGTTGCCCATAACTGAACCAAGGATGGTCACGAGGGGATGATTCGTGGGCACCAGCCACTGCACCCTTCCTCCATGGACATTGACATGTGACATCCGGCAACCCCTCATGACCGTCCTTGAACCTCTTGGATGTACTGGCAAAGTGTTCAGGCTGTGCATACTGTCACTGCAGAGTGGCCTCGCAGCTATCATTGAAAGGCTGCAGCAGGAACTGTTTGCACACAGGCACTGATAACCAGCTCACCAATCGGATGAGGCTGCATCTCAGGGCTGTTGACTTGTTTTCATAGTGCGCATTGACTTAGCAGCTACATGCATGCCTTCAACATCAAGCTTTTCCTTGCCATGCCGATTAGCGTAGTCACGCAAATAGGCAAGCTGGCCTTGCTGGTCAGCAGTCCTCAGTCAAGGGGATGTACAGTTTGCTACAGGGCAGAGTGCAATTTTCGGGGAATAGAGGGTTTGAGTTATATAGAGAGACAAGATAGGCTGGGATGTTTTTCACTGGAGCATAGGAGGTTGAGAACATGATGTTATAGAAGTTTATAAAATCATGAGGGGTATAGATCTCACACCTGATCACGCTCCAGCAGCTTATAGTATTATGTTGAACACTACATGTTCAGCAAGTGGGCAGCCGTATCAAACTCTTAGAGGAGTAGTCTTCACTAAAATCCATGGAGACATCCGTCAGTCAAATGTTCTTGACACAGTAAGTCGTGGGCAACCTTCTATAACAGTCCAAGGATTGGTCATGGTGAGGTCTCTGTTCCCTTGGGGGCCCATTCCTCTGTGTTCTAGGAAGTGGGTTATGGTCAGTCCTTTAGCTCGATAGCAGCTAGTTTAGAGGGTAGGGCTAACACAGCTCAGGAGATGTGCAGGCATCAATAATATCTGTTTGTTAACACCTTTTCGTCATAGAGTCATCGAGTCATGGAATCATACAGCACAGAAACAAACCCTTCGTTCCAATTAGTCCATGCTGACCATAATTCCAAACTAGACTAGCCCCACTTGCCTGTACTTGGCCCATATCCCTCCAAACAATTCTCATTCATGTACTTATCCAAATTCTGTTTAAATGTTGTAACTGTACCCGCATCCACCAAATCCTCTGGAAGTTCATTCCACACATAAACCACTCTCTGGGTAAAAAAATTGCCCCTCATGTCTTTAGTAAATTTTTCTCCTCTCACCTTACAAGTGTGTTCACTAGTCTTGAAATCCCCCACCCTATGTAAAAAAAAAACCTGTCAGCCACCCTATATATACCCCTCATGATCTTATAAATTTCTATAAGGTCATCCCTCAACCTCCAATGCTCCAAACACTCTATTCCCAGCAAATTCCTGGTAAATCTTTTCTGAACCCTCTCTAACTTAATAATAACCTTCCCACAACCGGGAGACCAGACCTGGACCAGAAGTGGACAAAGTCCGAACCCCTCAATCTTACTGTTCTACAACATTGCTCAAGGCCCTACTTATAACTGTATTTGTCCTGCCCATGTTTGTTTTACCATAGTGCAACACCTCACTTTTATCCAAATTAAACTCCACCTGCCCATTGACCCAATTAATCACGATCTCTTCGTAATCTTAGATAACGTTCTCCACTGTTCACTATACCACCAATTTTGGTGTTATTCACAAACTTACTAACCAT